ATTCTAGTTGACTCTCGTAATGGTTCTATAGTACTAACCAAAGTTTTCATTATTCTTATTTGTTGAAGTTCTTTAACATTCTTGTATACACGTACTCCTTGTACACTTTTATGACCCGTAATGTTCATTATTGCATCTTCTGAAATATCAGCATCTTGGAGAATTTGAGCTGCTGTTTTTCTTCCGGTATGGTTTGTTAAGATTCCTTCTGGGAGTTTTACACTTATTTTTTGACCAATATTTTTCATAAAATTTTTAACCTTATTTATACCACAATAAACTTTGGAATACCAAATATCAAAGTCTTGCCAATTTAGATTAGGGTACAAATAAAAATTGTTAGAAGCATCAGAAGGGCATTTAGAAAGATATTTCATAAGATCACTAACAGGTCCCAAAGTACCAGATAGATCAGATAGTAAGGAATATGATGTGCATCACCTCCTTGAATACCTTGTTAATTATTTTTACTATAATACCGATAAAAAAGAATGCTGCTATCAGATTAGATTTGAAACTGATTAATCTGAAGTGTGTAATGTTCACCACCTCGGTATGCAAAAATTGTTGCATTATGAAAAAAAGCTCTGTATAATAAGCCTTAGGGAGTTTCAGGATTTAAGAACTTATCATTAAGAATTTCCTTTACTTGCTCAGCCGTTAATGCCATTGATCCTTCTTTTTCACCCAAACCTTTTTCTTGTAAATTTTTCAATTTTCCATTTAAAATATCATATAAATCTGGAAATTGATACTTGTCATGTAAATTAAAACCACAAATTGCCCCATTTTTACCAAGATATCTATTTATTCCATCGATAGCTTGTTTGACTGTTTTAGCCTTATAGTTACTACCATCTTTTTTTGTCATTTGTGCAATATACTCGCAGATTTGCTGCTCAATAAGATGAGGATCTTTGATTATTTCAATCGGTATTACATAGTTGTAATGTTGATGAAATTCCTCAAACTTTCTCATCCAATTTTGTGTAGCTTTTTCCGTATTTAGTACTGCAGCTTTTTTCTATAAAAATTAAGTTTTTGGGCAATTTCAGATCTTGGTGTACTTTTTTCAGAAATATTATCAGGAGTATAAGTGCGTGCGCTAGTGAAAGTAGAAAGTGGTGTATCACATAGGTCTTTCTTTTTTTTGCGTTGGTTAAGCATTTTTTTTATTGTTATTTTAAGTAAAAGAAAAGGTCAAAAAAGTGTAAAAATATCAGTATACAATCACAGGGCATTAGGATCCAGGGAATAAAACAGATATTTAATGTTAGTCTTAATATCATGCATCACGGGCAGTCATCATGCATCAGCGCGGCTGCGCCATGCTGTTGCATGATAAATGACTACCCGTGATTATGCATAATATCTACAACAATCCATTAAATATCTATTACTTATTCTAATAAGTATCTAGTTTTATAGCAATTTCAAGTAAAATAAGTTATCTATTATATAAATCAATAGGCCTACTGGCTATTTGATTTAGATTCTAAATATTTCTAATTAGTATCTTATTTCTACCAAATATCTATTTGATATCATAGTCTATTTCAAGATATTTAGAATTTATTTATCAGTAAACTTTCATATGCATATTGAATTAATATAGAAAACCTATCGGTTATCTGATTGTTACTTAGTATAGTTTTATTTGACCTGTATTAATTGGCAATCCACAAATTACCTGGAGAGTAGTCATAGTAAAATGTGATGCAGATTACTTATAAAAATTAGAGATTTGCAAATGTGGTATGTGCATATCTAAACTTTTTTATACTAAGTTAATCATCTTTCTGGCTTAAGAAACTTTTGTAGAGCTTGTCAAGGTGTATCTAATAGTGAGTAAAGTGTTAAAATTGGCCTGGTGGATACTGAGATATCTTTAAAAAATGTTTCTTTTACTATATAAACCTCTTTGCAAACAATAGTATTGTTTGCAAAGAAGTTTATATAGTAAAAAAAAATTTTTTAAAGATATCTTGGTATCTACCAGGCTGATTTTAACACTTTATCTACTATTAGATGCATCTTAACAAGCTCTACAAAAGTTTCTTAAGCCAGAAAGATAATTAACTTAGTATAAAAAAGTTTTAGATATGCACACACTACATTTGCAAATATCTAATTTTTATAAGTAATCTGCATTACATTTTACTATGACCACTTTTCAGGTAACTTGCAGATTGTCAATTAAAATTTTTTAAAATTTTTTAAAAATTTAATATTATATATAATTTGATAAGCTAAATAAATTTTAATTATTTTTTAAATTTAATTAATTAACTTAATAAAAAATAAATTTTTATTTACAAGTATTATTTTAATTAATTTAATATAATAATAAAAATCCTAACTATATAAAAACCTAAAATTTTATTTAATCTTAATTATTTTAAAATCTGTTGCATAAATTTTTTTA